GTCCCCTAAACCTTCCTTTCCTCACACTTGCCTGTGCATTATTAATGTTTGGCATCTTGACTGTTTCCCTCACTCTCAGACTAGTATCTTCTTCCTGCCATATCTCTAGTGCCTAGCACAGAGTAGGTGCTCAAGAAATTCACATTGAATGAATGAATGCCATGACCAGTACAGAGGGAGTGCCCTCCCCTTCATTCCCCAGGCCTCGCCCCCACCCCTAGTTCCCTCCTGGGCCATCACTGACCTTTTCCAGGGCCTCCTTCAGTACAGGGAGGGGGTGGGCCAGGGGCACAGGCTCAGGGTACCTGGGACACATCTTCATGGGAGTAGAGATCACCTCTGGTCCCAAGGAACCTGGAGAGAACATCATGTGATGGGTAGGATACAGAGAGCAGGACAGGAGTCTTAAGGGTCATCCTACAGGGCAGGGGGAGGTGGCAGGAAAGGCCAGAGTCACACCTAGGGACAGTCCTCCCCAGCTGTCAACAGCCTTATCAGGATATATCAGGGTACTGAGACCAACCAGAGTGTGCCTGGGAGGAGAAGGCATGGTCCCACACTTGCCACCTGTTGTGTGGCTTTCCAGAGACCCATTACTCCACAATTCCTGGTTGGTGGTCACTGTCCTCCCTTCTGTCTTGCTCGACCAGCTTCCTACTTCCATGTGGTCAGTGGGCTTAGACATTCTGGCTCCTTGGGGCANTTGGAGCCCCACTTAGGCTTGGAGCTAAACCACAAGAGACAAGTCATTCTATCACCAGAGCTGACATCAGAGCATCAGGAGCTTGAGTCCATTCTACCTTTGTCCAGGCATATGGCTTCCTTGGAACTTCGGGGAGGAGCTGAGGGCACTGGCAGGACAGGATTCAGGCTGTGATGTCATCACAGCAGCTCCCAGACTTCACCTTATCCTCTAAGGCCGGCGTGGGGTGTTAGGGGTATGAGCCCCACTTGGGGGGCCACCTCCTCCTTGCCTTCCACTCCCTCCTGAGATTCCACCCAAAACTGAGACAAGCTCCCTGTGCTAGGTTCCATATGGCCTTAGGTTTCCTCCCACCTCTGGATCTGGCTGGCTTTGTGACTTGCCTTGGCAAACAGAATGAGGCCGAACTGATTGTGCAACTTCCTAGGCTAGGCCTTAAGGGCCCTGCTTTCGGGGAACACTGCCACCTCCTGGACAGGCCTGGGACAGCGGCCTTGAGAGCAAGAGACCACAGGGAGGGAGAGGCCACCTCCCAGCCGACTTGACCGCTGCCTTGGAGAGAGCCCAGGTTAGACCAGCAGGAGAACAGCCAGCCAGCCCACAGAATCATGAGAAATAATCAGCCACCGGTGTTATAACACCAAGGTCAGATTGGATTCCCGTACCAGCCAGCTGCCAAATAAATAAATAAATAAATAGCATTTAAAACTTCCATCTAAAAAAGAAAAAAAACAATCAGCCACTTTGAAGCCAGTAGATTCTGAAGTGGTTTGTTACTTAGCAATCAGTAACTGACATGGCCCCAAACAGGAAAATGACCAGCCTTAGGGAGGATCTCTCAACAATTCCATGACTCAGGTGTGGTAAATAGCCTAGACGTCAACAGCTGAGCTTCTCTACCTATCACGTACACACACGAAAAACCACCTGGGAATCTTTTTTTTTTTTTTTTTTTTTTTTTTTTTTTTTTTTTTTTT